AAATTACCAAGCCAATAATTAATAAGCCAATGAGTGACAGAATTGTATCACAAATTATATTGCGCAGAGTTTGAACCCGCGTCCTCCGGTTTGCTGGCTAAATTTCACAATGTGAAAATCTTAAGCGTTTTAACCGACTGCCAAAAAGGATGAAGACCTATGTTCGTTTGTATGATTTTTTGTGTATGCTCACCGATTTCTCGGAGATTGCTTGGCTGATTTTGCTAGTTTAAATTATACTAGTGACTAGTGTCCAACCGAAAGTTCGGTTTCGGTCGAGTTTCGGCAAAAAACGGGTTTCGGTTTTGGCGGCAAACCTGCCGAAACTACGACCAATACCAAAACTGCATTCGGGAGTTCTCACGCTGTGATCGGTCATGTCCACGTGCTTAATCATGTCACGACTGGCTTGTGTTTGCAGTTCGTTTTGTTTATTGTGCGTTTTACGATTAGTTTATAATTTAGTCGTTTAGTTTTAGTTTTTTTTTCACATTTTTGTTTTTTTTTTACTGAAGAGAAGTCATAAAAAATGACGAATTAAGTTTAGAAGTTAATTTGTTCTTATGATAAAAATGATTTATAATGTTTTGTTTATTACTTAAACATTAATAGACTAATCGGAATCACTTTATTTTTAAGAGAAAATAATATATTTTGAAAACCGGAAGTTTTATGATTTTAAATGGGGACGCAAAGTGTTGAGAAATAGTTTTTTTCAATTTCCGGCTTACTGTGACGTTCTATCGAAAAATGATTATCACAAAAGTTGTAAGTCTTGTAAAAATCTACAACTTTTACATAGGGTGTTTTTGCCGGACGAATATACAATGTTTTTATTTTTTTTTAAATTAAAGTTCAAGACACAAAGAATGATCCCTTTGAAAATTGAACAAAATTTTTTTTAAATGTAAGCGTCTACTTGAAGTTGGGGGTGATTTTCAGTCTCTCGAGACCATAAAACATACTTTTCTCCGAAATGGCTAAGTATTTCAATTTTAATATTTTTTTCATTTATTATATGTATTTCGAAGATGACATTTCCTTAGTTTCATGAAAATCAAAAGATTATTCTAGAAATAAAAAATAAAAAAAACCAAGAAAAAGTAAAAAACCGAGTGTTCTTCAAATATCTCGAAAAATTTGAGGTTATTGTAAAAAGTGTTATTTATAAAACTTGTAGATTTTTAGTAGACTTAAAACTTTTGTAAAAATCATTTTCGATAGAACGTCACAGTAAGCCGGAAATTGCAAAAAACTATTTTTCAACGCTTTGCGTCCTCCCATTTCTCGGGGGTAGGTGGGCTTCGGGGACATTTTACGAATTTCTACTCCTTATATACTGCTAACATTTTAAAATCATGAAAGGTTTACAATATTTAGTTCCCAAACCGGATTCCAAGTGGACTGTAAGGACCTATTGTGATATTAGGTAACAACTTGAATAAGTAATTTTATGTTTAATGTTTTGAAAAAAACCATGAATAATATTCAAAAGAAGAATCCATCTACTCAAATAAATAAAAGGTGAGATTTTTCGTATTTTTACGGTGCAATATTTTTTCTTAAATGAGGGGTTCTTATGTTGAGTATAAGTGAAAATATCGAAGACGCATAGCTATGTGATTTAATTTTAAAGATAAAAAAATAAATACCGACTGATTATAATAACGTTTTCTTTATTTTTCACTCAAACAAAACAAAACATGATCCTTGTAAGGAAGTTTCGGTTTCGGCCGAAACTGAGACAGTTGCCGAAATTCGGTTTCGGTCGTAAAAACCAGTTTCGGTAGGACACTACTAGTGACTTACCCCCGCTTTGCTCGGGTGGTCCTTAAGTACCTTTTAAATCTTTTATAATAAAATAAATAAATATATTAATTACTTACACAAAAAAAATGTAAAAAAAACTTATAAATTGGCTCTTAACCTTAAATTATAATTAGACAGAGAATAACATGCACTCACATACACAAATGCACATATAGGTACATTCACACTCTTACTCGCACAACCCACACTAACCATCACTACATTATACATATCGATAATCTCCTTATATTAATTAATAATTATTGTAATGCCTACCAATATTAGTATAAGTTATTTCTTTTTTGCTTCACTTAAAATAATTTAATTTTTTGTAAACTTATTTAATTTAGCTAAAAACCATGTTTATATTTTTGTATTTATTTTTGTATGTATGTATATATTTTGTCTGTAATTTTGCTGGTGGAGGGCGTTAATAATTGCGACACAGTTTCTTAACTTCTGAAATTATTATCTGTTTTTGCATTATATATAATGTACTGTCAATAAAAAAAATAGATATGAATAGTTATTACGAGTGTATCTTAGGAGAAAGACTTTAATATGCTATTGCAGCTTTTCTGTAGGCCTTTTATAGACCTATAATTTTCTAGTACATTGTTTTTATATCTATTTGTATATCGTAAGATTCTTCTGAAGTAAAAGGTATCCTAAATGTTGACCCGAGTAATAAGGTCACTACATAAAATTTAATTAAAATCGGTTCAGTACTTTTTCGTGACACGCGCACATCGATTTCGCTAAGTTACTGTTTTCAACCGACTTCAAAAAGGAGGAGGTTCTCAATTCGACTGTTTTTTTTTTATGTTTGTTACCTCAGAACTCCGTCATTTATTAACCGATTTGGACAATTTTTGTGTTGTTTGAAAGGGTATACTTCCAGATTGGTCCCATTTAAATTTCAAAAAAAAAATACCACCTCTAAGGGTGGAAAAACAACTAATGATGAATTTAACCTACTTCTAATTGTCATATTGACTTGAAACTTTGCAAGTATTTCTATTTCCGTTGATAGTACAGTGGTTCGGTGTTGTTGACCTGATCTGATGACAAGGCCAGAAGATGGATAGATGGAACTCTTCAACGGCTAATAGTAGATACTTTGAGTTTGGGCTTATTTTGTTTGATTTGACAAGCCTAACACGTTAGAATCCTTACTTTGCTACTACTGTCTACACTAAAAAGGGAAAAATAAAAATTTTTAACAAAAAAATAAAAACCGACTTCAAACAAAAGCACTAAAAAGTTAAAAATAACTGATTGGTAGTTTTCATTTACTATACATACCTAATCAAAAATTTCGAAGTCGGTGTGCTTTGGCTAAGTAATTAGAGCCTACCTATTAAATACATACCTAATCAAATATTTTCGAAATCGGTGCCAGCCCATACAAAGCAAAGCACACCGACTTCGAAAATATTTGATTAGGTATGTATAGTAAATGAAAACTACCAATCAGTTTTTTTTAACTTTTTAGTGTTTTTGTTTGAAGTCGGTTTTTATTTTTTGTTAAATTTTTTTATAGTATGTAAGTATGCCTCAGAAATGATCATGAAATTTTAATTTTAGTTTTTATTTTTTGATAGCTTCTCTAACCGCCATAAATTGACTTGAATTGAACATTTTGCAAGGCACCTATCATCGTACTAATCTGAAGGTAAAGTCAGGAAGGTGGATGGTGGAACTCTTCAACAGCTACTAATATTTATACTTTGAGTTTAAGCTTATTTCCTTTGATTTCTTTAATAAGCTTTTCCTAGTTTCGGTAATTCCTATAAAAAATCATATGACAATACAAAAATTTGAAAATTGGTCTGATGACATAACTAGATGAAACTCTGGGGACCTACTAGTAAAACCTTCGAGTTTAAGTTAATTCTCTTCGTTTGAACGAGTTCCAAATTATGGTCCGAAAAATATGTTTAGTTTTACTTTCTGGTCTTTTTAACTTTCCACTGCTGAGCACGGGCCTTTCTTAAACATGAGGGGGATCGGGCCATAGTCCACCCGCTGGCTAAGTGCGGATTGGAGGACTTCACATGTCTTTCGAAATCTTGTTAAGTTCTCTCAGACATACAGGTTTCCTCACGATATTTTCGTTGACTGTAAGACCAGTGGTAATCATGTTGGAAGTGGTTCGCATATGAAAATATCACGGGTGAGACTCAGTTTTCCAAGCCAGTGCGTTACCTACCACTGCTTTTAACACTGCTTTAGAGATTTATACAACAGTTTTACCTAATTATTATAAAATATGTAAATCTTAGAACTTACTAGGTCTAACTAAATCTCAAAAGCCTTTAGAAGTCAACGCAAAGCCACGGCTTTTCTAATAATATGGATATCTAAGGTTACAAAAGTAAAGTAAATAAAATAATTACCTACTAAGAAAAACATGTAAGTCGCACAAATGGTTTTTGATTTCTTGATTTTAAGTTATAAATAGGCGTATCTCTACACCTAAGTATTTATACATGGAATTCTATAAATATATAATAATAAAAATAAATGACTGCTAAGTATACTACTAGCTTATATGAATCCTTCTAATATCCTACTAATATTATAAATGCGAAAGTTTGTGAGGATATATGGATGTATAGATGTTTGTTACTCTTCCACGCAAAAACGACTGGATGGATTTTAATGAAACTTTACAATAATACAGCTCATACATCAGAATAACACATAGGCTACTTTTTATCCCGGAAAAATGTACGGTTCCTGTGGGATAAGATTTGTTATTTGTTTACAGAAATAAAAGACTGTGTCAATTACTTAAAGCGATCTGTACTTGTATGTACTTTAAAGCGTGAAAAGGTAAGAAACAAACAGCCAGTTTCATCTTTATAATATGGATGGATGGAAAATAAGAAGACTTCTATGACACAAATATATTTTATTTAAAATGACAAATATATTTTTATTTAATTTCACTAAATATATATATATATATATATATATATATATATATATATATATATATATATATATACACCTATAGCAAATTAACTTTTACAATAAATATGTCTTTTTCAAATACATATTTTGACTACACCAACGTTGTATATAAGCATCTTCAACCTACATTATAATTTATATAACATTTAGAAGAGGAAATAAAATGCACAATTCTCTACGTATAATAGGCTCGTTATTATTTTTCAAGTTTAATTATCATTACATATGAGATTGATCAATTGATGTATCCAATATAGCAAAAAGAAAAATAGAATGAAGAACCTGATGATCTCGTTTCGTATCTGTTTCGGCATATTCGGATCGAAATCCAAACCTTTCACGTCTACGATGATTTCGCAAGATTCATCCTTCTTTATATCGGAATATACCTGCACTGTTTTGTTTATAACCATCTGGTTGGTTTCGGGACCAAAATCGGATGTCTCTGACTTCTTAAAGTCTCCGGTACCCAGTTTTTCAGATTTGCCACCAGAATTTTCATTTAGTCCAGCCTCATTATCTTTTCCCAGGGTTGTAGTAACAGTGACCAGTACAGACGAGGAGGATTTGGATATGGAGCTTGTGTTATAAGCAGGCGGCGGCCCATATTGGCCGAACGGATGTGGCATCTTGGATGGATATAGTCCCTTCTTCTCCTCATGCTCCTCACCCACCATACCTTTATCCGTCTTGACCTCATGAGACCCAGAATTCTTCGTATCCAGGAAGATCCTATACTGATTAGCTCCAGCTTTAGGATGATGGATCTTTGGAACGTCATCCACAGATGTTTGTTTGAAGATGTTGATCAAATTGTTTGGCAAGCCGAGAGTGTGAGCCGGCATGTTTTGTTGCTTCAAGTTACACACAAGTGGTAAATACGTCATATCAATGCAACAGTCTCGTTGCACTGAGATTCATTCAAAGGGATGCTGCGCAGGACGCTCCGCGCAACAAAAATTCCACCCATCGGGAGTTTGAAAGTGCAAGTAATTACCTAGGTACTGTAATTAATCAATTTTTCTCAATTAGAATTTACAGAAGTTTTTTTTAATAACAATATAGGTAATGTTCTATGGTATATAGTAATACATAATATGGGTAGTGTATAGTATATTTAAAAAAATATTAATAACAATTTGTTTCTAGAATCTAGTACTAATAAAGACTCTATCGAAGGTATATTTGGAAATAAATGGTAGGTACAATATGATACCAAATATTTGATAGACTTTTTTAGTATATATTATTTAAATTATATTACGATAAAATTTAAAAATAATATTAAAATAATGCTTAAATTTATTTAGCAGTAGATAATAATAAATAACAAATATTGTTATTTTACTTATATAAATATAGATCTATGATCTTTAAAATATTGTGTCTACTCGAAAGTAATTAAGTTACCTTAGTTTTTACAATATGTTAAGGTTGACATTTTGATTGTAAATTAAAACAAATAAACGTTATTTTCGATACAATTTATGTATAAAACGGTATGAAAGCATATTTATGTTTTATTTTGTAATTTGCATTATATTATTTGTATAACCTTTATGGCTTATATAAAGACATTTTTTGTTCTTATTTACTTTCTATTTCTGTATGTAGATGTGGATTTTAGTTTGAATAAATAATATTATGTTATGGTTATAAATAGAACATCAAAACAGCGCCATCTAGCGGCAACGCTCTCTTTATCTTCCAGGCTATATATCCCACATGGTGGTGAGGTCAGCCTTCCTTTATCCTTATTCCTTATTTTACTTCATCACTTCGCTCTATCGGAGACATCTTCTTCGGAAAGTCTGTACTTCTTTATTTCCTTTGACATTTCGTCTTTCCATCTAGTTTTGGGTCTAGCGGCAAATATTACAAATATGTATGCATATATTTTTTTTTATTATCAAAAAATATTTATTTAATAATATTACAAATTTAAATTTATATTATTATAATACATAATATTCGTATTTATTGTAAAATTATAGCTCAATTTTGTATTATGTATTTGTTTGTTAACTACCGATTTTTCTAGAAACTAATTGCGTCTTTGCGCCATCTATTGTTGAGTAGCGCAAGTTCTTAAATGCAGTTATCAGAAACATTACTTTACTAACAAATTATTACAATTAAACGTATATTTTGTATTGTTTAATTTTATTATATGTATTGTAATATAAAATCTACAAATTATTTTTAATAAAAAGTAGTTTTATTTTTTTCCAACATAATGTTAGTGCTTATGCATTTGAAGTTTTTTTGTTATACTTAAATAAAACCGGCCAAGTGCGAGTCGGACTCGCGCACGAAGGGTTACCATTATCTATAAAAACGGCAAAAAAATCATGTTTGTTGCATCCGAGCCCCCTTTATATATTTGTTTTATTTTAATTTAAATCTTATTTATTTTTAAAGTGAATATGTAACTACATGTTCTTTGAATATTTAAAGCGTATACCTGTTGCCGTTATCAATATCGAGCAAAAACGAGAACAAAAACAATGTTTGTTGTATCGGAGCCCCCTTAAATATTTATTTTATTTTGTTTTGTAGTATTTGTTGTTATAGCGGCAACAGAAATACATCGTCTTTGAAAATTTCAACTGTCTTAACTATCACGGCTTATGAGATACAGCCTCGTGACAGACGGACAGACCGACAGACAGACAGACGGACGGACAGCGGAACCTTAGTAAGACGGTCCCGTTTTACCCTTTGGGTCCAGAACCCTAAAAGTAATTCCTAAAAAGGTAAGTATATATTTATTATTTTTTACCAACTGTAAATAGCACAGAAATCTTAATAATAACCTTATTATTAAGATTTCTGTGGTAAATAGACATTTACATTAGGTATATTCTGCTTTTATAATTATATTTAAAAAAAAAAACAAACAACTATCTACATACTGCTAAAATATTATAAATAACATAAAATATAACAAATATTATAACATATTACACAAAATATATACAAAGGTTGGCAGCAGCTATCACCTAGCGGCTAGCGCTTGCGCGAAACGCTGGTTCTAGATTTTTCTATATCTTTCTGTACGCAACTAGATGGCGCTTACTGATCTAAAAATTACACGGACATTTTCTCACCCCATTAATCAATTTCGACAAATATTATAATGTTTAAGCAAATAAATAAAGAAATGGAGTCTTTATTCATTATTAGTGCCATCTCTTGTTGATAGATAAGAACTAAGATGAACTTTGAGGCCGTTGAAAATATTAAGTAGTACATTATGGGTACACTAGATGGCTCTGTTACGCAAATTTTAGACTATTCTTTAACTAGCTACTCATTCTTGCTCCGCTCGAGTTGTTCCCTAGATCCGTTTAAACAGTTAATATAGATTTCTCATAGACCCGTAGTAAATAGTATCCTATATGTTGACCCAGATAACCAGCTATCGTCACACCAAATTTCATCAACATTTGTTCAGTGGTTTTCTCGTGATGCGTTCTTAGACAGACATACAGATAGACAAAAGTTCTAAATATTATAGATTCGACGTCTGTATTGATTATAATGATTATTTCAATAAGATTTTCCAAAAAATATTTAATTAACTAAACTCAATTTAGAATTTTATTACCTACTTATATGTATAGATTATATCACAATATATGTAATATAAAGACATTACAGATAAAATCGGTACAGATGACGAAATACTATACTAGCAAAGATGCCCGGATTTCATGTAAAAAAATTAAAGAACTAGTATAGTATTATAAGTGCTAGCAATATATTATAAGTAGATGATGTCGTCTATTGATATTACGCACTAATTAACTAATTAAGTATTTTCCCTCAATAAACGATAGATGGCGCTAGCCACAAAACGGTTATTTTTAGTCAGTTCACAAGTTTTACGCTAGATGTCGCTTAAGTGAAAATATTAGTATGGCAGATAATGTTAATATATGGACTGAGTAATGAAAACTGATCGACGATGATTTGACGGAAATCTACACATTTTATACTTTTATGTATTAAATATTAACTAATTAATAATCAGCAAATGCAGTGGTTTACACATTTGCCGCTAGTAGGCTATTCAAATTTTGCTGCCCCTATCGACCTGTACAAGTGTCAGACTCAGTCAGCGCTGGATTACACTAGGGGCTCTCGGGGCTAGTGCCCAGGCGGTAAATTTTTAAGGGCGGTAAACTCTGGAGGGCGTGAAATAAAAATTTCTTCGCGTTATCGAAAATACTTTTTTATTTTCCAAAAAATGAAAAATAAAAAAAATAACTTGTAGGTATATTTTTCGAAATGACCTACAAGCTTCGAAACCAATTTATCCCACGGGAACCATACATTTTTCCGGGATACAAAGTAGCCTATTTGTTATCGGATATATGAACTATTTTATTGTAAAGTTTCATTAAATTCCAATCAGTAGTTTTTGTGTAAGCTGTGTAAGTTACTATAGTTTTTAACTATCCCACAGGAACACTTTAATTTTCCGGAATGAAAAGTATCTAAGATGTTGACCGGGGATATAAGATACCACTATGCAAAATTTCATTTAAGTCGGTCCAATAGATTCGGAGATTAGGCCGTACAAACAAACAGACAAACGGACAAACAGACAGAGAAACAAAAAATTTGAAAAAAATCTGGATTTGTTTTATTTCTCTTCTTATACCCCCCTGACTCGGTTTTTAGCATTTTTTTTTCTATGTACAGACATTCGACATCTACAGTTTTATTATAATAAAGATTTTTAGCATTTTTCAAAACATTAATAATAAAAAAACGGTCATAGGGCGGCATTTTTTACTATGTCCAGAGGCGGCACTAAGGTTGAGTCTGGCACTGGACCCAGTTCCTAGATTATTTTTACAATCCAACGATATTTGTTAAGATTGTACAAAAAAATATTTTTGCGTATACTTCTGAGCTAAGAAAAGCTCAATCATAAACTACTAATAAAGTAAGTCTTTATACAACTTACACAATTTCTTGAACCAACAATAACCAAATAGTTGAAAATTTTTCCTTAGTGTGAACCATATTATATGTTGAATTGTTTGTGTTAACATAATAACATCTAAGTATGAAACTTTTGTAGAACCTTTTTAATTTCTGTAAGACAAAAAAAAGATTTGCCCCTAAATTAGCCACCCCTAAAATCTGCCGCCCTATACTCCAGCCTACTGAGTCTGCTGGTAAATCCACTACTAATGAGTAGTAATAATATACTTTGTTTTGACTTTTTCAATTCGTACCTATTAGTTTATTGATCATAATTAACAAAAGTTCCGGAAAACTACAGACGTAATACATAATAATGGTAGATCGAGACATTTTAAGGAAAAAAACCTGTGATATTTCTTAGCTCTATAGTACAACATGTAAGAATACATGGTTGATTTGACACCGAGCTTGAATTTACCATTGAGCAGTAGATCGTGCTTATGAGTAAGAAATCAGAGTTTCTGGGTTCCTAATTTTGCTACCAAAGTGTAATATTTAACAGCAAAAAAATTAAATTATTGATTAAAAATTAAATAACAACTATTTAATTAATTAATTAAATGAAAATAATCATAAATTAGATCAATTAATAAAATACCATAAAAATCGTCTCACAATCACCAAAAACATTACTTAAGTATGAACATCCATAGCACTCTTTAGAAAGTTGGATAAAGTTTAGTAAGCATGGGAATTTTCTACAATAAATAAACATCCATTAAACAATATTATAAAATAATATAGAGTTATAAAAATATATATGGGAATACCCTGTTTTAATATGTACGTAACATTAGTGATAAACTATAAACTGTAAAGATAAGGCGGTGCTAGACCTACCAAATAGGTATTAAATATTGCTTCTAAGCCTATACATATTAAGAGAAAAGTCCACCAAAAAAAATCTCCTTGAAAGAGAGATAGCGTAATAGCATTTTTTTCTATTTTTTTTTAATTATAATTAATTTTTTTTAAGTTAATTATATTTTAAATCGTTTACTCGTTCCGTTTTCGTTTGTTTCGTTTTTGTTTGTTTGTTTTTCGGTGAAATGTGTATTTTATGTTTTAAAATGCAAAATGCTTCTTCCAGATTGTTTCAGTAGTTTAGTTTTAGAAAGTGGAAAATGCTTCTATTTATTCAAATCCTGCGGTCATATAACATATAACATATAACAATTCTCGTGAAATTTCACTAATTACTATATTACTAAAACTATCTTTTCGGATTTTTTAGCAGATTTATTTTAATTTCTGGTTCCCGACGTTTCGAATGCTTTACAGCAATCATGGTTGCGGGAGAGACTGAGGTGTTAGGTCTCAAAGGCGTTTTACACTTAAGTTGTTACAGACAGCCTACTGCCTACCCAAAAAATAACACAATGAATTCAAAAAATACAAAAATGGCACCAAAGTACCTTACAATATTTGTTAATTTTAATCATTTTTATAATTTCAATAAGTTTCGAAGTTTCGGTTAAGTGTCGAAACGTCGGAAATAAAAAATCAAAATAAATCTGCGAAAAAACCCAAAAAGATAGTTTTATTTAAAAAAAAGTTATAATTGTTTGAACTTGAACGATTAGATGAATACCTTAAAAAGACACGTTCGCTCTCCCCATTTGTTAATCTATACTATCTACATATACTAATATTATAAAGAGGTAAAGTTTGTGAGTTTGTGAATTGTAATTTTGTGACGTTGTAGGGGGTAATCTCTGGATCTACTGAACCGATTTAGATGAAATTTGGTAAGAATATAGTTTGTGACCCTGGGACTATTGATACTTTTTATCCCAGAAATTATCCCTTCAGGGGGTGAAAATGAGGAAGAAAAATTGTATGGGAAATCAACCTAGGGACGAACCCGAGCGAAGTGAGGGTCAGTCGCATGTTATAACAAATGGGAAGAGCGAGGGCGGCTCTAGTAATACAAAAACATGCTTTTGAAAAACCGTAATTTATAGGACTCGTCAAAACGAATGGGGAAAGCTCGTTGGAAACAAATAAAAAATATTATTTCTGGATTACAAGTAACTTAAAAATTGAATATCGCTATTTAGAAGGAGGTTAAAATCTAATATCTATTTATTTCGAAATAAGTGGACCTAATAAAAATAAATACTCATAACGGCGAAGATATCGTATTACATAGTTACACACTGAATAATGATATCCATAATACACTCGCGTTATCAAGACGTATCAAACGACGTATGAATCATCAAAATCGGTTAAGCCGTAATGATTTACACAAATATTTGTCATCCTACTAATATTATAAATGCCAAAGTTTGTTTGGATGTATAGACGTATGGGTGTTTGTCACTCTTTCATGCAAAATTTACTGAATGGATTTTGATGAAATTTTACAATAATATAGCTAATAATATAGCAAATAAAATGGCATATATAAGAAACACATAGGTTACTTTTTATCCCAGAAAATGCACGGTTCCCTTAGGATAGATTTGTTTTTATTTTCTTATAGGCAGTTAGTCGCTTGTTTTGAATAAAACAATTTTTACCGGATTTATTTTGATTTTTGGTAGCCGACGTTTCGAGTGCTTTACACTTTACAGCAAAAAAACCGAAAATATATTTAGTTTTATTTAAAATCATTAAGTAATTACGAGGAAACATAGTATCGGACATAAGTACATACATACAGGTCAAACACATAACCCTCGTTTGGGTTTCGCCGCAGTCGGGTAAAAAAACTAAAAAGTAAGGCGAATCAAATACCTCTTTCTTGTTTAAAGTCGGTTAAAACTCATGTTAAGATAGCAGACAGCGCGTCATTTGTAAGATAAACAACTAACCAATCGAATAATCGCACAAACAAACAGCTATTAATTTTTATGTACAAATAGATAATATAAAAATGAATCAGTCAAAGGAAGTGGCGAAGCTTCTAAGTATTTTTATCGGTTCTATTGTTACTAATAACCCATATGAAATATTATAGTTTGTTATTAATACTTACCTATTTTTATTGACTCAGCATTGATTCAGCATTTGGCTATTTTTTTTACGCCCTTTATGGCATTTTTTTTTATTATAGTAGAAAAGTTTATATAAGTACTGGCGTTTTAATGTCAGTAAATCCTATTCCATCCTATATATTGACCCGGATAACCAGCTATCATCATACTAAATTTCATTAAAATCTCTCCAGTGGGTTTTCCGTGATGCGCTCACAGACAGACAGACAGGCAGACAAACATTATAAAAACTATAGATTCGAACTCTGTGTCAATAATAATGACTATTTCACTAAGAATTTACAATAAAAATTTAATGTACAGATTCGACTCAGAAAATTATTATATGTATAGATTCAATAAATTTATTAACTATCCAGAAAAAAAATGTGCGATTTTTAATAAATACCTCGAGGATGGTCTCAAATCAATTTTAAAAGAAGGTGATTTTAAATAGTAGATTTTGAGAAAATTAAGAAGGTAAATTAATTCGTTATAATAAATAGACATATCTAAATACATAAGTAAATAATATATGTGTAAGTAAAGATTAAAGTAAATAACAAATAAATATAATAAATAAAGCAATCATTTTTTTGATAGATATGGAGGAAGATAAGGAGGAAAAATATTACAAAAATATCATTGTTTTTTAAATGTTTGTGGAACAAACAATTTTGGACCGATATTGAAAGGCCACGTATACACTAGTATATGATATAATATAATAGACATATTCCTATTTAGTTTCAGCTTTTGTTTTAAATTTTGTTTAATAATTATAAAAAAAAAACAAAAAAAAAAACAATCATATATGTATACCTACTCGTAGCATATGCTTTCGGTCAATGAACTCTACGCAAAATATCTAGTAAAAGATGGGCAAAAGAAAAATGAAATTTTGCATTAAAAATATTAATTAAGAATAAGTAATAAAAGTGCAATTATCGGTATAATTCTACAAGTTCAAAAAAACTTCCTTCCTTAAAATCATCCATAATGAACACAATGTGTACAAACAATTATACAAACATATTTAGGTATATATGTATTGTTTATCATCATTCTAAGAAACTTATTCAAACGACTTATGCCCACTCCAGAAAGAACGATAAGTGATAAACTATGACCCATCCGACTCATATAAATATAGTTGTATAGGCTAATACATCAGTTAGTACAAAGAGATACAAGAAAATGTTCGCACTCGTGCTTCTGGGATGTTTGGCGCTTTCCAGCGCGGCACCTCGTCACTACCACCATCCTTACCATCATCATGGATCATCCTACGAAGCAAGTTTGGAAAGGTACTTGGAAGAAGAAATGTTCAACACAAGAAGATTTTGGGATGAATTGAGACGGGAAATGTTGGAACTCGATACTATGCTAGCGGATTTCGGTAGATATTATCCAAGCAGCATTTCAAGTGAACAAATCGAAGGTAACGAATACATTATCACAATATCTTTGCCTAATTATGAGGAGAAAGAAATCGCTGTGAAGGCAAGGAAAGGGTTGGTAATGGTTCAAGCTGTGCACCAAGAGGAGGGCGAGCCACAGAGAAATTATTTGGACGTCAGGACCTTACCTGACTGTGTCAACGAGGCTGGTAGCTGGTCATTTGAAAATGGAGTGCTGAAAATTGTTTTCCCGATCGCTAAGAAAGAAATCGCTGAGGGCGAAGTTCCAACGGAGGCTCCTGTCACAGAAGCACCGCAGCACAGTCGAGAAGATATGGAACCTACGTCAAATGAGAATGCCAACCGAAATGCCGATGTAGAATCCGATAGAGGAGACCTTGGCAAGAATACAGAACTTTTGACTAATGAAATACCAAAACACAATTCTGTTGAAACGACTACTCATGCTGTTGATTTGAAAGATGAAGTCGAACTTGTTCCAGCCCGTTATTAGGTTTGGGATGAAATAAGTTTTTTTTAAACATGTTTCTCTAAGTTCTTTATTGTGATAGACGTATTTTTAATAATTTTTGACCTTTTATAAGTAATTTATGACAAGTTTAATTTATAATTGAATCCTTTTGTTTTGACTTATTAAATAATAAAACAAAATATTAAGAAGTCCATGGTTTTGTTTTTTGTTATATATTTCAGAGTTGGAAAAGGTTAAGTTAGAGAGAAATCTCTTCATTTTTCGAATAATTAATTTTCATTATAAAGAATTTTTATAATAAAAATATATATTCACAATAAATTTTATTTAACTGACGTAACAATAACTGTGTAAATAAATACCTAAATGAAATAATCATTTATGAAGAATCTAAATATAAACATTAATATTATCAAGTTCTACCTCTAAAGACCATTATACATATTTCTGAGAAACAAATTCTGTTGAAATAATAACGGCATAACCCGATGCATTTTTTTTTGGCTTGTGTTATGGATACCAGATAGTTGATACACTACACATATATACTTTAAATACATACATATTATAAATATATTACGTTAAAACTAGCGACTTGGCCCTCGCCTGGCTCGGAGTTCGGAGCTTCGTTTTAATTTTTTTTAACGCAACCCTAATTATTTTTCTAAAATAAATGTAGCTTAAGATACTCCGTATAACATCAACTATTTGCCAGTGAAAGTCCCGTCAAAATCAGTCCAGCCGTTTTGGAGATTAGCCGGAACAAACAGACAGACAGATTAAAAACATTTTTTAAATTATGTTATTCTTATAACCTTTTATTTCGACTTTACAAACAGATACTTCAATTTTTACTTATCTGTATAGATTATTTCTTATTGTAAATGAAAACGTTATGTCTTAAGTGTCTTCATGGATTTTTCCATATTATTACTTGGGTACATCAGTACCTGCCTTCTGTATTTATAATTTTATATAATAATAAAAATAAAATCTCTTTAATCCGCAATACTTTTCCATAAAATTTATAATAAAATCCAAAAACTTATAACAGCCCTCTTTTCCGCCGAGTGTTAAAAACCAGTTATTTATAAGTAAATAACGAGTACATATTATGTACGTTGTGATACTGTTTTCTCGTCGAAATGCCCCCTTATCAAAAGTCAAACGTAATTAGATTCAACAATATAAATTCATCGTTTTGCTAAGTACCTACTAGAAAATGTTTATGTTTGAGACATTTATTTATGCTTAAAATAATTAAAATAATAAGGCCATACAATACATTTTCTCTACAGCTTTAGAAAGAATTTATTTTTATTTATAAACCAGCTGAGCCGATCGACGTTGTCCTGTCAAAATTGTAAAGATACTGGTGATCGCCTCGTGGTTGAAAATCAACCATAATTCTGGTTCTAGGAGGTTCTATTTGCAAAGTTATATAGATAACCTAAAAAATCTAAAAGAATTTTGAAACGGGCCCATAGATTCAGAGATTTGTACGTACAGACAAACAGACTTTTCATTTTCATATTGTGTAAGTACTCGTATAATATTAATGAAGGTTATCTAATATCTTGCTAACATCTTTTAGCAGTGAAGTAATTTTATCTATATATTACTACGTGAAGAAAAATCTTTGAACCCCTTTTGCATATACGGAGGAGGATGAGCTTCGGAATAGTTAAAGTTTATATAGAGAAAGACTGCAGAAAGCCGAAATTTATTGACTTTAAGCTTTCTTTTACACGCGAATCCGCTCGCGCTAAAACTACAAAAAACCACTAAAAAGTTATTTTTCTTACAAACTTTCATCCCCTATTTTATCCCCTTAAACGATAACTTCGAAAAACTACATATTTATTTAATTGTATTGAAGAGCATTAATACCAAGTTTCAAGTAATTCTGATTATAAATATTTTTTGTGTTGCATTATAACGTTTTTTCCCGTGGGAATGAGATAATCTGCTGCTGTAAAAAGTAGCCTATGTCACTCTCCAGCCCTCCAATTATCTCCACACAAAAAAATCACGCCAATGCGTCATTCCGTTTTCACGTGAAAGAAGGACAAATAAACAAACAAACACACTTTCACATTTGTAATATTAGTATGGATTATTCTACAAATACTCTACAAATACAATACTCTTATTACACTCATCTCAGTACGAGAGCAAAATCCACGAACCCATTAATTAAAATATTGTCTTTATGTCTGTCTGTGTGAATTTAGGACCCGTAGAAGATTCGAAATAGAGGGAAAATTTTATTTTCCATCTACAAACTAAGATATAGTAGTCCCAAATGAAAATTAGTTATGTATTAAAATACATATTTAATTTTATTGTTTAAAATCAATTAATATTTACACAAACAAAATATTTCGTAGTGTATTGATTTACACATTGATATATTTTGAAATACTTTATTTACTTTTAAACGTTTTGCCCGTTTATTTATCCATCACGTAAAACTATTTGAATAGCTTTGATGAGTTCTATGCTTTTTGCAGAATTGCCTAACTGGAAATAATCTGCCAACCTAAATTTTATTTACAATTGTATTTTATAGTCGAGGAAATTTATTTTGAAGCTAATAAAATAAATTTAAGATGGAGTCTGTAGTTCTTAGATATAGAGAATAAGATAAATAGTATATCTTGTTGTATACTTAAAATCTAACCTAATAGCTACATACGAAGAACCTGACTTTAATCAATCAGCCTTTGGTCTTATAATAAAGGTTAGCTTTGAAATGGCAATCTTGTGCATTTATCGCTCACCATCAATAGACAATACAAATAATTTTCTGCTGGCGCTTAATAACATTCTTTCTTCATTAAGTAACTACAAAACGGTTGTCATAACAGGAGATATAAACATAGACATTAAGCCAACTTCACTTGACATAAGCTTCCATGAATATCTGAACTGTCTTGCCTTTCACGGCTACTTACCTGCACGCACCCTTCCAACTAGGGGTGAAAACTGCTTGGATCACACAATTCTAAGAACTAAGCTTCCGGCCTATAGGCCTATAGGTTTTATAGACAAATGTATACATTTGTCTATAAAACGACGGTAACTGATCACTATTCCACGCTACTTTGCATTCACAAAAAATATACGCGAACGTCGACTGCTTCAATAATTACTAAAATAGACAATGAAGGGCTTGACAAATCAATGTTACAATTGGATTTTAACCATCTTTTCCTCTTAAAGAACGCAAATATAATTATGGATAAGTTCATACAATTGGTTACTACCGCAATTTCCAAAAATTCGACAACTAAAAGAGTCCCATCAAAAAAGAAAATTCTTAAACCCTGGATCACTCCCGGTTTATTAAGGTGTATAAGAAATAGAGATGCCTTACATAGGAAGTTAAGTAAGTCTCCAGATAATGAAGTGTTAAAAATCACCTACAAGAGATATAGAAACTTTTGTACTAGTATTCTAAAGAAAGCGAAAAGAGCTTATGACACACAAGAAATTAGTAAGGCAAGCAATAACCCAAAAGCGCTATGGGATACACTTAAGCAAGTAACGAACTGTATTGAAACTAAAAACTCCCCAACACCACTACTTACATTGTCTCCCTCACCAACTGAGTCGTGTAATATAGTAAATTCACATTTTGTAAACATTGGCGAGAAATAATGTAATTAACGAGTGCAAAAACTATCCGCATAATATATCAAACGGCCTACAAAACTCAAATGATACACTACCAACATCTTCCCTGGTCCTTGACCGTACAGATCCTAATGAGATTATTACAGTTATAAATTCCTTACGATCAAGTGCTGCTACTGGCTGGGATGGCATATCACCCTAATTCCTAAAGAAATACTCAACCACTCTGGCACCTGTCTTAAGCCACATATTTAATCTCTGCTTTGAGACTGCTGTCTTTCCTACTTCACTTAAAAAAGCAATCATTCATCCAATCTTCAAGGGAGGTGACGGAAGCCTTCCAAATAATTACCGACCGATAGCAGTTCTGAGTGCCTTATCGAAGGTACTCGAACGATTAATAAATAAAAGGCTAACACACTATCTCGAACACTTTAACCTAATATCACGACAACAGTTTGGCTTTCGCAAAAATAAATCAACAAATGACGCTGTTCTAAATTTGGCTGATTATGTCGTACAAAATCTAAATGAAAACAAGAAGGTTCTTACTGTGTTTCTAGATCTCACGAAGGCATTCGACACCATTCCCGTCACCACTCTTATGCTCAAACTTGAAAGATTAGGTGTCAGGGGGTTACAATTGGATGTACTTCAGAATTACCTCACAAACCGTTCGCAGATAGTCAGGATCGATAACCACAATAATGATGAGCTTCCCATCCATTACGGGGTCCCACAAGGAAGCATACTAGGTCCCACCCTATTTCTAGTTTTTATCAACGATTTATGTAATCTTAAAATCCCGAATGCTAAAGTTGTATCATATGCTGACGACACCGCTATAACTTTTATTGCAGATACCTGGTCCGATCTTGAGCATATGGCACAATTAAATGAAACTATCTTTTCGGATTATTTCGCGGATTTATTTTGATTTTTGGTTCCCGACGTTTCGAATGCTTTACAGCATCCATGGTCACGGGAGAGACTGAGGTGTTACATGTCTTGAATGTATAGTTGTTACAGACAGCCTACCCACAATTAACAAAATGAAAAATGCACCAATTACATTACAATATTTTTAACTTTAAAACATTTTTATAATTTTAATTATAATTGAATATGGAAAATTATTTATTTAATTTTTGCTATTATTTTTATAATTATTACAATTTTAAAATATTAATTAGTAATCTATATTTAGTGTTGCCATTATTATATTTATAACCATAAAGAAAAATATAAAATATAGTATTAATTATTTAAGCCATATAATTGTTCTATGTGTAATTTAAAAAGTTAAAATTAATTAAGGATAATAATTTTAATTTAGTTTGCTATTATTTAAAAACAACTTACTAAGCAACACTATTAAT